AAAAAAAAAATACATTTTCAATCATAAGTGGTGTTCTTGGAATACATGCTTCTGCTGTAAGCAGATTGTGAAGAATACAACGACTGTCCGGACCGGACAACCAGTTTGTGTATCCCATTTTAGTAATGTTACTGGGATGTTCCCGTGCACTAGACGCAACTGTTGATTGTAATGGGGTGTAATTGACAGCTCTGAGAATGATAATAATGAAAAGACAAAAGTCAAACTGGTAAACAATAATTGGCCAACACACGGGCTGTCCGCGCGAAGATACTTTTTTTGCATAGTTCCCCGCAGTTTCTGTCGCTACCGGCACCGATTTTTTCGACAAATGCTTCTAGCTAAACAAATTAAGATTGGCCGCCAGAACTGTTAAGAAGTACCCCCTTAAAATTTCAGCTTTCTAGCTTTCCTGACTCCTGATTTAGCAACCTACCCAAAAAAATTTGGCGGGCCGGTATGTGGGTACCATACGTACCCAGAGTTTGGTTTTGAGCTCAACGAGACTTAGGTGAACGGGGAATATCCTCTTAAAATTACAGTCCTTTGGCTTTTCAAATCCCTGAGTTATCAATTAAGCCGAAAAAAACATTGGCGGGCCCTTGATACACAAGGCTGGGTTTGAGCGCATTAGTATCACTTGGACGGGGAACATCCCCTTGACATTTCAGACTTCTAGCTTTTCAGATCCCTGAGTTATCAACTATCCGAAAAAAACCCGTACGTGGGTACCACGCTTACCCGAGGGATAGGTTTGAGCTCGTTGATACCCACTTGGACGTGGAGCATCCCCTTAAGATTTCAGCTTTCTACCTTTTCAGATTCCCGAATTATGAACTTACCCGTAAAAAACTTAGCGGGCTCTTACGTGGGTACCACGCAGGTGATGGTGTCCATTTTAGTGATTGTAGCCTATACGTGTATACAGAATAAGTTCCCAAAGTTTCAGTCCTGCGGCTTTTATAGGTTTTGAGATGAAAAATCGGGACAGACGCACACGCAGACACACAGACAACCCTTTTGAATTGCACAGCTGCAAAAAACGCACAATAACAGTAGTAGTAGCAATAATAACAATAACAGTAATAAAATTTCTGAAATTTTTCAAAATTATACTAACTAGCATTATTTGCTGCGTAATTCTGATAATAAAGATCGGAAGGAGTTGGCCAATAATTGGTTTTTGTTGCTGACCATTGATAGTTCGAATCATTTCGTAGACCGCTAGCAGCATGTTCTGCGGAGAAATATGCCGTAAATCCGGAAAAATCTGTCAACTCCTGGAACTGAACCACAGCTAAGCAAAAAAGTAACTAAAAAAATAAAGATTTCTTTTCGAAAAAACTTATGAAAGCTCAGTTTCGGATAAAAACGTCACAATATCGTGAAACTACCATCCTCATCCGCTCTCTACCAGAAACTTTGAAATGTTCGGGAAGTAATCTGAGTGGTAGCAATTGCCAATAGAAATTACCCTTTGGCAAAACTATCGATAGCTTCCTTATTCCATCTTTGTTTAACCAGCAAGCTCGTGACGGGTTTGAGTTTTTATCATTCGCTAAGAATGTTAGATCTTCATACCATCTGTCCAACTAATTTTGGCAGCTCTGACAAAGCATTTACCTGGGGAAGTTGAAGTAACCCTTGCATTGCACTTGTGCCAGGAGTGTTATGACAACCTGCAGTGGTAGCAAAACTTTCTGTTTGCGATATTCTTGGAATCCAGCTTGCTCCCACATATGCGGCTGCCGTTGCAGCAGCGAGCAAATTTTGCCTTTCATCTTCCACCTAGAAGTGAAATTTTTGATAGTATTTCAAAAAAACTGTGAAGAATTTTTGTACATGGACATGAAGCGCTGTAGTGAAATTTCAGCTTTCTGTCTTGCTGGCCCCGAATTTAGTAAATCTCCTGCCCATGAGTGAACTTAGACATACGTGAAAGCTGTTCTTAAATCTGCTGGTGGCGCATGCGCAGGCGTCATCCCGCCAAAATTTCAGCTTCATAGCTTCTGGTTACTGAGTTAAAATTCCCGAGCATCCATTAAAAAACGAAGTAGATTTTGACGGAACGGAAAAATATTTTAAACTTATCTAGCTGTTTTTTAATGCGTATACGTTTGTCGCACTGTAAATAAGCCAAAACTGCAAATTTTTTTACCTGTTTCTGATTACTCGCAATAGATGCTATGACGGCCGGATGCTGTGGTACCGGTAGTACGGGTTGCTGCTCAGCACTCGTACCACTGCCACGTTTCTTTCTTTTTCGTCCGCGCGTTGAGTGTTGCTGTTGGGGTGCCGCTGCCACTGCTGAAGCTCCTTGTGAATCCAGCCCAATAGCAACGGACTGCTGTGATGGCCTGACAGAAATATAGATTCTAATAAAAACAAAAACAGCGATTTTTATCACTGTATCATTATGTGTAATCTGTAACGATAATAGTTAGGACGCTAATTTAGGACTTGAGGAAAGAAAGGCACTGAAATTTCTAAATCCTTGCACAATCCCTTCTCCTCAAGTTAACTTCTTGTAAAATTCTCTTCTATTATTTAATAGTTTGACTAGTAGATTTTAAGCTTGAATTTCTCGCTCCTTAATACTTCATAAATTTTCGCATACATACGTAGGAGATATGCTGTTTTCAAAAAACTCCAAATTTTTTATCACAGGCTTTCGCCCAAGCGATATCTGTCTTACTATAGTTCCGCTAGGAATAGAGCGCTTTTTGAAAGTTAAAGAAAAAAGAAAATCTTCGTGAAAATGGAAATCGATGAAAAGCACTCTTACCCTCTGCGTTGCTTTGGTAATGTTTATAGCTAAGGGATGAAACGCAAACTGCTTGTACTACATGGCTTCTTCACATGTTACGTAAAGTTTTTTCTGCATTTAATGCCCAGGTCACTCCTATCCAAACAACTTGTGTCGTCCAAGAGTAATCGAATTTTGCAAAATAAAACCAAATCAATTAGTGTCTCTTCAAATTTGACAAAAAACGTACAAAAATTTTGAATAAAGGAATGGAGTCGGTAAATAAAAATATCGTAAAAACAAACGTAACGCACCTCATTGGTACTACTGGAAAATGAGCATTTTGTTGAAGTGTTGAACAGCATTCCAAATTCAGCTTCCCAGGAGTAACCACGTAAGGTGGTAAGCATGCAACACCTAAACGATTCGTAATTACTGAAAATTCCAAGTCAGCCACGACAGTCGGTGTGGTTATTTCATGCTAATGATGTTACTGGGATGCTTCTCTAAGCGTCAAGGACGACTATGCCAGACATTTCTGTCTTAAACTAAGCTAGAGAGCCAGTACTTACCGCCTGTCCGTGTTTGATGCTTCACAGTTATCATAGATTACATCGGAAGCGATCAGTGACAAAGTGAAAGACTTTACTGGTTCGAAAACCCACTCAAATAGGATACCAAGTAGGATACAGCAAAGCTCCTACTGGTTATCAATGTTATTGTTAAAACTATGAAGGCTGTCTGGATAGTCGGTGGGTACCCACGTTAGTGATATTACTGGATGTTCTCATGCACTGGCACAGCTCTGCGCCAAACCTCCGAACCTGAGGTGCAGGTCTTCAGTTGTTTCATCCAAATATATTAGCTCTTTGGGCAAGGTCCAGAAAGAAAAAAGTACCAATTGAGTTTGCAGATTTACCTGATGAAGCTGCTGGCAGAGCTGCAGTGGACTGCAGATTCCTGGGTGACTGAAGCAGCGAGTCATCGAATGACAGAAGTTTAGCTTTCAGCGATGCGCGCTTCTCCAGTAACATTGTCCCTTCCACTTCACTAAAATTATTACCATTTCCGTTGCAAGAAAAATATTCGCACAAAACTGCACATTTTAACAAAATGTGCTGCAGCTGTTGTTCCTCAAATTTTTGAAGACGGAACTCAAATGTGTGTCTCACTGCAGTGAAATACAACGAATAAAACATTTGCTGGTAAGTGAAGTCGAAATCAGGACCTCCTCCACAGCCTAAATTCTGCGGAGGGCAAAGCATCCACCACCGAAGATTGACTTAAATTTCACTCCTCAGTACGTTGAACAACCAGAAATCAAATCTCAAAGACTCTCCATGTTCGCTCTCGGTAAGAGAGACGAAAGTTCTCGAAAAGTAGTAGACCGAGTGGTAATAAATGCCAACAGCATCAGATCGCCAATGGCCTCATCCTCCTAAGAGTGCTTACAAGCAAGATGATAGTGAGCTTGGCTTCCTGGCATACGCTAGTACCAATTTGTCATCGAAACGAATAACAAATCGTAAAGGGATGGTTGTCTCACTGACAGAGGGTTTCCTCGACTTACACAGAAACTTCAGCACATATGTATTTCACAGGTGGCGTGCATCTAATGTACTTTGTACAGATGCTTGCCACTGCGCCACGCTTGTTGGCTGAACAGTTATTTTGCCAAGTTTCGTTTTTTTTTTTTTTTTTTTTTTCGAAAATAAAAAATCTTAGCAAATGAGTAGAGGTTACGTTAGAAGACGATGTGTTAGTCCAATCGTTTCCGGTTTACCATTTTTATAAAACATGCGACAGCTGCTCTGGATCCAATATGTCCTCCGACTACAAACACTAACCAAACGATATATCAGAATACCACTTGCGCTGTTCTTGGTTACTGAATGTACAAACAAATTTTAACACACTGGAACTCCATCATTTAAGAAGCAGAGCCTCAAAGACAGCAGGACCTGGGGATTTTCCAAACCGGGCAAATCAGTAACACATCCTGTAAACTCAACTTATCTTCGAAAGAGGTACAAATGTTTCATTGATAATAAGAATTTTTATTAGCACATTTATCAATTTCGCTATCAGACTAAAGGTATCGAGTGTCAGATAAGCTTTGAAGGTGTCGAGTGCCAGGTAAGTAACAAAATAAGTTAGTAAGTGATTAAACAAATCATCCTCTGTAGGTTATCGTTGCCGAAGCACTAAATCAATGTATTTAGAAAACAGTAAATATTTAAATCATTTGTGCTGTAAATCTCAAAATCTAAAATCTTCACTACTCACCATGTAAGCCAGGCGGAAGTAAGTCCGAAAAATCTCCGGAGAACAAAAAATGACAGCGGTAACCACCCACTGCTAAGGCTCCAATGGGTGGTTCTTTCTAAGCAAGTCGTTTTCGGGTTTGACGTCCTGCACCAGTACCAATTTACCATCAAAACTAATGAACGAATCGGAGGGGACTGGTTATCCGACTGGTAGAGCAAGAGTCATGCCTTAATCTCCGTCACAAAAGCAATGGTATTTGTCACAGTAGAATGACCGCCAATACAGTAAATTTGCATATTTCAAAAACAAATAAAAGTACCATAACTCTAAAGTCGTTTTATTTCACGAGCTAACGATTACCTACCTTCCTTATGTGCTTCGGCAATACAGACTGCATCATCCACATGAACCAGACTATAGAAACTGCGCGGCAAATTTTTGTCGTCAAGTTCTAATAAAGCTCTGAAATTAGTACATTTTTTCCCGACTCCACATAAGCAGCCAAAAAAACATTTTACCAAAGTTCTTACTAAATTAAGCAAACGAACTTTACACGGCTATCCATGGAAACAAGTGTAAAATCGAGAGAGTGTTTCGTTTTCAGGATTGGATCATCCAACGACTGGTCAACAACATTCGGCGGAACAAATGGGCTAAAAAATTACTGCGAGTTTTAATATGCCCGTCCTCGTAAAAATAGGTGCCAAAAAGATATTAGTTTTGCCAGATACAAAATATAATAAAAATAATAAGCAATGATCGAATGAACTGAAATGTTTTGGTTCATCAAGTCCTATATTTTGTATCTTATTCAACATCACAATTGGACCCTTTCGGTACAGTGGTTATAATGTTGGTAAACTGTGTTGAAATATAAATGTATATAAAGTAATAGCAATAGTTATTAAATAAAAATATGTGATAGATAAAATAGAGATGTGTGTGAGAAGTATTATGAATATAAATGTGTACGAGAGGGAAATATCTTGACAGGGGATAACAAGCCATTTGATAGTGCCAACTCTCCCGACTCCTACATAAAATCTTGTTACCAAACACAGTCTGAATTATGCAGCTTCAGTACTATATCACTTGTGCTAAAGCTCGGTAGTATGGGTTTTAAAATAAAGAAATCCTGGCTTTTCAAGACAGAATGATTTTTTATAAAACTGTGAATCTTAATATCAGATTCTTTAAAAGTTGCCAAGAAACGGCACAGCGCATTCCTAGTTGTTGACGTTACCAGGATCTTTTCAAGGAAGTCTTACCTGCAAACAGCCACTAATCCCAGCACAATGTTGCCAGAGGTGTGAGCTTCAGCGCGATTGAGTACATAGGAATGTGGTAAGCCGTGGAGACTCATCAGTTTCCCTCGAACATCAATTCTCTGCAATACATTTACACATCACGTAGATGTAAAAATAGTTCTGAAGCTTACCGGAGCATAGACAGAGGGAGTGTCGTGAACCGGAAAAAGCTTAGGCACTTCCTCATTTGAGGAAGAGTGCTCCAAATTGTCGTTCCTTTAAAGAAAGAGGGAGGTATAATTGCTTTTTGATCATCGAAACAACTGGTAATAAGTTTATCATCGAAACATTGATAAAATTATTACCATTCTTATTAATATCATTAACATTGATATTATTGCTATCATCATTATTACTGTTATTATTACTATTATCATTGTCATCGTGATAAAAGCTACGTGAGTGAAGTAGCGGCATTTATGTCAAACTTGCTTCATATCTTAAAACTCAAACACAGTCCACACCTTTAAAACATTACTCCTACGAGAGGTCGAGGAAGCGAATTTGTACGTTGCCAGTAGCAACTACCATGGTTCTTGACGGTCCCCTCAAGTAGTTCAGTGTTTTAGCCAAGCAGAATAGAAGAAGAGTCAAACAATAGCGTAAAAAACGGATTACCAGGAAGCCGCAGGTGTTATCAAGTAAACAGCGAAACCGAGCATTAACATTCCTTTCCAAATAAGGCATTCCTCCTGAAAAAAAGACCCAGCTGAAACATAGCTACGACAGTCTCGAATTACCAACTCTAGCCAGTTTAATTATCCTCTCTTGTAATGTAGGACGTATATTAAACTTAATTTCAATGCATGCTAGTTTTTTGCAAAATCAAGTTTATCACAACAAATATTATCAAGAAAATCAACATTGCCTAGGCCTATCACTGTGGGTATCCCCTGTTAGTGATGCTGCTGAAATGCTTTCAAACGCCAGGCTCAACTGTGCTAGGCTCTTCTATCCTGGGCTGCATACTTGCAGTCAGTACTCACTGTCTGTTTGATTTATTTTCGCCACTTCTTTAGCAGGCCACCGAGTAGTTGTCTGGGAGAGGCTTTTTCGAAACTCCTCGTTTTGTAGGCTACTTAGAAGCAAGCTGACAGTGGTTTTGACTCTCTTGCATATGCCAGTACCAATTTACCATCGAAACGAATAAAAGAGTCGTAGCACTATTAGCATGGAAGCGTAGTGTTGCCGACTGTTGCGCTGCGTCAACCCATTCAAACTGAACTGTGAATATTTTTATTCAATTGTTTTTTACCAGGAGTTAGAACGTCCTGCAAGCAAGTGAAATGAAGAGGAACATTGTAGTTCCAGGCTAACTGTTGTTTGATATCCTCACGGTCTTCCGAATGTATCATTTCGAACAGAGGCTGATGCAGAATATCGGACTGAAATGATCTTCAGTGGTATTCAGTGACTTTAATCTAATTCAATACAACTTATTTTGTTTTTAAAAATTTTTGTTCTTCCAGAAAACTCAAAAAAATAAATACCAGCTGCCAAACTTCCACCATTTTTGACATTTCCTTGATTATTTCATGATTTTTAGTGCATATTTATATATTTTTCATACCCTTTTAAGGTAAATTTTTGTGACGAAAGAGGTTAAAATAATTAAATTCAAGCGCGAGAAGTAGGCAACCCAAATTAAAAGTGGTTGTTGCGTCTCTCCTAGTCGACAATGTGTCTCATCTTGGTCTAAGAGTGGTAATATCCGAGTCGAAGTGATAATGTTCAACAAACAGCAGTAATATCTCAAGGCAGCTAAATCCCCGACAATTATAAACATAATAAACTGAGCAGAATAATGATACCTCAGACAGAAAATAACTTCACTTTTACTTTGATCAGTTACAATTCATAGCATGATTCTTCATCCTAGATAGATGGGAATTTTTTTCAAAAGTTTCCACCAGTGGTGCATCGTTCAGTCGGCTTGGTGCGGATCCTGACTTTTGTTTCTTCTTTTCCGGAAGAGATGACTATCTCAACAGTTCTCCCGAGAGAAGCATCTAGCTATTTTTAAATGTCGTAGATGTATAACGAGAACCAGCGCAACATCTCGAACGTCGCTACAGCTGGATCACAATGAGATGCTTTACTGGCTTGACTGGTCGAATGGAATTGAGTTAGACTAAAATAACTTTGGATTTGGGTAATACCTGATGAAAGCCCAAATAAGTCTCAATATTTTCCGATGCGTAATAAATATCGCCATTTTCATTTAGTATCAAAATGAAACCGCCAAGTGCCTGAAACACATTCAGCAGCTTTTTTGGTAGGGAACAGAAATCAGAATTTTTCAGGATTTGCTAACTTAAAAACGAATCTTCCAACAGATCTGGGGTTTATCTTGAGAACCAGTGATTGATGAAACAAGTTTTCCAAGAGAACCGATATTTATTGGTTTTTTGGATATAATCAACATATCTATTCGTCGGCGACTAAGATTTAATTAATCGAGAGCTATCGATACAATAATAACCATTAAATAATATTATATTTATTATTGTTGTCAAAATCTCAGAACAAAGGTGTAAAGATCCTACGTTAGTGAAGTTACCGAGAAGCATCCACACACTTCGCTCTTTGTTGCTGAACGGTACATCTTCACTTATTATCCAGTGCTTGTTCATTCTTTTCGGAGGCAGCCCAAGTGGCTATTCCTTTTTTGCGGGCCCCAGTCACTAATACGTGGTACTAGGCATACCACATCATCGGATTTTACTTTCTTGTTCCAATCATCCAATGGAAGGTCTGATTGTTTTCATGATCAAAAAGCTACGCCAAGCATTCTTCACTTCAGTATTCTCTCAGTCACAACTGCAGCTGCCCAACAAAGGATTTCATCCCACTTTTTGAGCTCGCGAAATCTACAGAAATAGCTTACCTTAAGCGCCATACTTTCGAAGTCGTGTTCGTTTGGATCGATGAGCGATTGTCCGGAAGCACGATGTATGGCTGTTGGAATGCCGCCATACGGTACTGTTGCGTTGGGAATGAATGGATAACTGTGCGCGAAAGCAAAAGGAAAGCTCGCGACATACGAGGATCGGTGCAAACATGCTGAAAAGTTCTGCATTTTTAAAAAAAATTTGAAGGGAAAAAGCTCTTCCAGCCATCGAGAAACTTTTCCGTGCACTTTAAAAAAGAATGATCAGGTAATGGTTTTACCGTGACCGCATTAAGTTTAACAAGAAAAAAGCAGTCTTCGGATAATAAAACTCTCAGTGGCCCTTTCTTTCCAGAACTCTATGCGACTTAGTGAACCGAAACACTCCTGCCCTGATATTCTAACTTTTCCAAGTTTTTCGCACTCTAAGTGGAGCACATTTCGAGTTCTTCCAGCAATCTTGCATATCCCGACTTATCCTTTCGTTCCAATTATCACTTGCCTTACAATCCACAAACATTATCACTTGCCTTATAATCCACAAATATTACCTACTGCACCAACCCAGCCTCTCAGTATGTAAACTGAAGAGAGTTCGAAGCAAAATACGTTCGGAGGTATTCTTATCAACTTATTATTAAAAACAAAAATCGTAGAAGGACTGGATTCACCCGAAATTACAATTAGATTTTTTAAGAGTAAAAAATTTGCCAGAGCCGATCCGTTCATCCCGTGTACGTCTGTTGCTGCAGACTGTGAGGTCTTCCTGAATCAGTCCTAACTAGTAGGCCATCGCCTCATTAAAATGCGCCCAATGGACTGATGCTGTTGCGTGATTCAATCTTATAAATGATTTTATTGAGAAGCTCTTCCTGGAAAACTACGTTGATGGCAATTCTCAATCGTTTGCCCAGCAATATTCATTTTTCCATTCTCGGCACAATTGATCCTGGTAAGCGAGAGAGACCCGGTAACATCGGAGTCCCTTGCGAACCATCCGGATGATCTTTGATTGCCAGGCTAATAATTCAAAAATCTTCAAAATTCGGTAAAACAGCATTACGCTGGTGTATCGGATCGATGAGTTTTCTAATGAGCAGGTACAGTCATTTCCCGCGTGCCATTCAATATCTATCAGAATCCGTAATTTCTTAATTACTGGTTATCACAGTACGTAAACATGCCAACACTCCATAACTATTTGGCAGTGACCCACTGAGATCCTCAACTGACCTTTCACATGTCAATCGTCCGTAACATCTTAAATATACCGTTTCCTCGCTGGCTAATGGGAAATCCTTGCGTGCTGCTGTTTCCTCCTTCACTCACCCTTGCCCTCCACCCACGCTTCCTAGACTTTCTGTAGTTAGAAAGCAAATGGTCAATCACAAAAGTCAACGGATGGGCTGATAAGATGCTTACTTTAACAGAGATTTTTTAATACAAATGTGACCATGATCTTTTAGAAAAGAAAATTCACAGGAAACAAGCTGTTTTCATTAAAAGAGGAGCAAAATGGCGCTGCAAGTGAAGAAAGGGAAAGCGAGAAAGGCAGCTAGTATGCAGCGGAGGGAAGTTTTGATAAACTAGCTGAGTAGAGGTTAAAATTTGACACTGGAAAAAGAGAGAGGATGCGCCAAATTATTTTCCTGTCGTGCCTATGTTTACGTCTAAGGAACGAAGCATAAATTGTCAACTTTGCACAATTTTCTTTAAATATGGTGTAGGGCTTTACAGTTTTGGTGGCCCCAAACATCCCTCTCTTGTTCATCTTTCCCTCACTCTCAATGAGTACCTGTGCTAAATCTTCTCTTCATATGTATATCATTGGTAACGGGTATGGGATTTATGTCATTTTCAATACTCATGGCTTTTGCGCATGTCCATTCGATTTGATGAGAAACCTAACATATTATTAAAGTCGAAATAATTTTTATTTCCTTACGACTTGCAAGAAATCCTGGAAAAAATAATGAGCAAGCTATCGACTGAATTTGTGATACTCAACACCAGCACCCTAACAACAGCAAAGGCTCAGCAACAATGATTCTAACTTTAGCAGTCTGCTTCAAAATTTTACATAAACTAAATGGTCAAGAGTTGTTGGAACAATATTGCCAGACTCGACAAATGGCGAAATTAAAAGTTTAGTAGCAGACCTCCGCATTACCAAGAAAATGATCCAGAATCCAGTCCTCTTCAAAATTTAGTTAAGAACAACAGTGTCTGATCAAAGCAGCAAATTTAACCGCACAGCCAAAATTCCATTCGCAAAATGAGTCTCTAAGCAAGTATCACTTTTTGCAAGAAGCGGAGGCACTCAGAAGTAGTCCTAGTGGTAACAAGCTGAAAAACGTCAACTACGTGCTACCAAGTCTGCCGATGAATTCTTCATACAAAGGGTTATTTAGAACTAAGCTAGCAGAGATTTTAGTTTCCACTGGTGCCAATTAACAACCGAATCGGATTAGAGGGTCTAATTTCCCACTGACAGAGCTAAACCACCGATTTTCATGCTCTGGGTACCACTATTCGCAACCAGAACAAATTAGCCATAAAGACAAAAGCGGTGACCTTTTGTGGCTAACAAATAAGACACCAAAACCACCTCCACCGTTATTGCGGGGCCTCGATATCACTGATACAGATCCGTCACCGGAAGCGAGAGTCTTCAGGAAGTTTATTGGCTTGCATATCCTTCTCTTCCTTCCTCTGTCTTTTTCCATCAGTGGTACCACATTTTACATGCCATTTGAATAGTTGTTTTTTTTTTGGCCTGGGCTTAGTGATATGCACTACTTCAATATTGATTCTCTGAATAAGTCGGCTTGGACTACTGTATTGTGCTTCAGGCACACTTGGTCCATAAAATCAATTACAAGAAACCCTCTTCCTGTTTGCACAATATGCAGAAGTTCAAAAATCAATATTAAATGACTTTAAATTAAGATGGAACAAGAACTTGTTCTTGACGTTCTCTGGTTGCAAATTCATTTCATTTTTTCCAAGAAACTAAAAAGGATTGTTGGGTGAATGAACGGATTTGCTTACATCATCATCCTCATAATACATAAGGCGTTATAATGCGCCAAAATAATCATCACCGGGACAGTAATCAGACACTAAATTATAGCTCCAAATGAGCATAAAACTCGGATTTTTCATGCTTCACTGAACAACTCCAAGCACCCCTTGCTAGCAGGTGCGCGTGAATGTTATCGTGCAAATTTCAGCCAGTAACCTCGAATTTACACGTAATAATTCTGTGATCATCGCATTTTTGCATTTTCTTGGATTCAGACTTGTACCAGTCTATAGCCTCAAGTTCCCTATTAATCCGGCAACAATATTTTGATGCTCCATTCATGCTCATATCATCACTTTTTCAACTTTCGTATGTTACTCTTCCTGCATGCGTGTTCCTCTACTTAAATGCTATTCACTTTCATGTCTTATAGATTTTTAACCCTCTTATTCAGTGATGTAGTTCTTGTCCTTGCTCAACATACTGCAGGCATGTTGTTGACCTTCCTTATATTGTGTGTACGAAGTGTATGCATATTTTTTATATTGTGTTTATTACTATTAACGTTTATATAAATTTCATACAATATTTGTAATATTCGCATATTGAGTATTTATTTAAATGGCATTTTTCAAAACTGACATCTGTTATATGTGACAGGATATTTTATTATCAAAAGCACTTCTAATGAGGAGAGCAATGAGTTGAGTTTAAGAGACGAAACGAACGTCAAAGTCACCGGCAGGTTGACCAATGAGCAGCGCAATGTACTAGCCAGAACAATTAAAAAATTTGCTATTTGCAGAGTTGGAGGAACATACTTTGAACGAGTAAGCATCAAAATGGTATTGACGATAAACAGAGTGTAGTTCTATCCAAAGCGCTTTTTGACGTCAGATATGTAACAATTTCTCAAGATACTTTAAGACAAATTTCCCTTCCTGAACCCTACCTCCACTTTGTGGGACCCCGTAACCCGGATTCCGATAGAAGATGCCCTGCGGATCGCGTGTTGAGCTGTCTATCGGGGGCTGAACTCGGCATCAAGAAGTGTTAAAGATTTTGGAATAAAAGGCAACAGTGGTTTCAGTTTCATCTACGTCGTCATTCGGCAGTCAAAAGGGGCCGCTACTACTGTATCTTTTCTTGCACACTCATCAAAAACCTGTTGTGATGTCCTGAACATTCAGTAATTACGTCATAATAAAACCGCTTTGTTGTCAGCAAACACCCAGTGACCACTGACCACTGAACATATGTTACCAGTTTGTTTTGTTACGTCATTCATGACAAGCAAATGCTGAAAAAAAAGATGCGCTGACCTTGAAAGTGTGCTTTGATTTGAAGATAACTGACCGCCAAACGCAGCACACTGAGTTTGTCCAGCCTACAAATACAACATTTTATTCATGATTTCTAAAAGCCTTAGATTTCTACTTCGTACATTTGCTACTAGTTATAGCTGCTTACGGGAGCATCCTAGCAACATCACTAAAATCGGATTGTTACGCTAGAGCGGCCACGTTGTTTTTGGTAAAATATATAAATTTTAGTATTTTTCTAAACATCCCGAAAAATTTCTGTTTGTGTTCTAGATATGCTGGGAAACATTTCTTTTCGTCCATTCCTTTTCCAGAAAAAATACTTAAAAAACAGGGGGAAATATGATTCTGACAAACATTTTCGACAGGCGCTCCAAACTTTTTTGGCAGAAGTTTAATTTTTAACTGATTTTGCGGATATGTCTAGGATCATTCCAGTACAACATTTTAAATTTCAACTTCTATTCCTATTTGTATGTAAGTGAAAAATTCGAAAAATCCGCAGAAGTTTCATTTATATAAATATGCAAATGAAGATGCAAAGAACTTCAGTTTTAATAAATGCAAGAATTTTAATTCCTACTTCCGGTAAATCAAAAATCCAGGGAGTCCCAAAAAATATTTCATTAATCTAAATAGAAGCAAATTGGTCGGATATGCAAATTAAGCAACCTGGAAATGACACTCTGGTCGTAGGGCAACAGTGCGGCGACTGTTTCAAGTTCACCGTTCAATCGTTCGCGATGTCGTTTGCTTGGATTTGTGGTTGCGCCCGGTTTTGCCGCTTCACGAACCCTGCACATTACACATTTTTTTTTTTTTGAATATTTTTTTTCAGTAGAAAAATACCCAAAATAATTTATACGAGTGTGTGAAATGTGTTATTTTAATCCGGAACGTCCGAGTTTTCAGCAGTTCAGTGGGTTTTCCTGCAGGTAATGCAACATATAAGCAGATGTCCTGGATTTGTGTTTCTCTGTTTCATGAATTTCCCCCCAGATAGCCCCATGCTCAAACGCCTATAAAGAAGACGAAACGTTTTCTAATGATAAATTTTTCAGCAGATCTGCCTCGTCTGTCTGTTCAGTAACGAGCACCAAATTAAATCCCTGATGAGTCCAAAAATTTGTTGGTACATTTCTGTTTCTCCTCAACAGCAGTGCTATTTTTCAATGCTTCTGACTTCGGAGTATACGGTAGGATGATGGATTCGCCAGCTGCTGAAGGAAGCACACATGAAGCATGCCAGGAACATTATTTTAATGTACGAGAGGAGGAGGACAATTAATTATTAATAGATGTCTTCGCCATCTTTCTCCTCTTCGCTTTCATTCAGTGGAGTGAGAAATGCATGTGGCCAAGGATGGTAAAGTAAAATTTAGTTAACTGCAACGGCAAAATTCAAAAAACCAAGGATTTACTGGAACTGTAAAAAATAGGAGAAGGAAAAACAAAAATAACAAAATATACCAAAAAATCTAGAAAAACGAAAAACAATAAAAAATAAATAACGAAAATTTAGAAATTTCCTGAAATGCTGAATATCAGACGGTGCGGGATATTGATTAGAATAACTATAACTATAAAATGAAAAAGAAGGAAAGTGGCATGGTTATGAGCAAAACACGGGCCAAAAGACTTTTCTCGAATTTATCTAGAAACATATCTCTATATAGTGTTGAATTTGCAAACTCAGTATAGCGCTGTTGGTTAGATGGTTAAAAGATTGATAGTGCAGTCCGGGTTTTCCCTGAAATCCATTTATTCTTGGATTTTCCCAAAATTCTTTGAAGACAATCTGTTCAGGATGAAGAGGGTGAGAAGGTCGTGACCTCTGACCTCTTATTTGAGTTTTCAAGTCGTTGTGTCGAGTATGGACAACAGTAACATAAGGCATGCAATTATTTCAGTTTTGCGGAGGAGGTAAGAGCCTGTTGTACCTTGGTATTTGGATTAAATAAAGAAATTATGGTGGAGAAGTGCACTCGCAAACGCTCGCCATTCAATTACAGTAGGAGAAAGCTTGAGTAATTAGTCTGGATGAATAAGAAGTAATTACGTCTGTGTGTGGGCAATATGAATCGCTGGGAGCTAGTTTGCATGAAAAATAAGGCAAATCCAGGTGTGAACTTGTCCGGAGAAAACCTGAACTGCCCAGGATCGTTTGGCCAGTCTGCCATTACCGACAGAATATAAAGACCGAGACTGCATCTAAGCCAAACATACACCGAAGAAAAAATTTTGAATAACTGGCCAACGCACGGGTGAAAATGCATTTTTTGCATTGTTCCCCGCAGATTTTTGTCGCTAATGGCACTGTTTTTTTCCGACAGATGCTTCTAAATAAAAGAATTTCGGACTGGCCGCCAGGACTGTCAGGAAACATCCTTTCAAAATCTCAGCCCTTTAATTTCTCAGGTCCCCGAGTTATCAGCTCACTCGAAAAAAACTTTCACGGGCCCGTAAGTGGGAATCACGCATGCCCGAAGACTGGGTTTGAGCTCATTGAGACTTACGTGGGCTGGGAACATCCCCTTAAAGTTTCAGTTTTCTAGCTTTGCTGGTTCTCGAGTTAGCAACTTACCCGCAAAAAACTTTCAGGGGCCAGGACGTGGGTACCACGCGGGTAAGAGCGCCCATTTTGAGGATTGGGGCTCGTACGTCCCTGTAGATTAAGTTCCCAAAGTTTCAGCCCTGTAGCTTTTGTAGATCTTGAGATAAAAAACCGTTACAGACACACACTGACAAACAGACACACACATACACAGAAAACCCCTCGTCAATATAGGTTTTCTGCATTGCATAGCTGCAAAAAATGCATAAAAACGGAGTAAATTACTGATAAGAATTTTTATGGATAACTTCTAAAATTTATTAAAAAAATTGTGTCCAGGAAAAATGTAAGGGTCAATGAAGTACACAAAGGTTACATCCACAAATCCATATGGGTCACACAGATTGTATCAGTTCTGCGAAGAATAACGACATAATTTTTTTCGCAGAACAGCAATCGACAAAGAAAATCACGGATTCTGATATGTATGATCCAGGGTACAGCGAATACGTCTGTTCTCATATGAGTCTTTCTTCAATCATTTGCAATACCCTTCATCTAAAATCTATCCCAACTGCCTTAACCAATCATCTGGTGGTTAGCTTACTGGTGATCCCGAAGTTCGTTTTACCACCCGTACGGATTACTACTCAGGAGTTTTTTGTATAAAGCAGTGCACTGACTCTGTAAAAGTCGAAGCGAAAGCTATCATTATTATACCCTGCGCATAATTTCTCTGGCTTTCTGTTGAAAGTTATGACTATTGTAAGGTATCCAGAGAATTTATGTAATATCGGGAAAAAAACCCCCATAGCTAGGATTTCATAATAAAAAGCCGGAATGTGCAGTGTGAGCACAACAGCAGCAGCAGAAGAAGACAAGCGATTCATAGTGCAGTGAAAATCCTGGATGAAGAGCAATAACCGGGCCTAGGCCGAGCTGTGCTGATGAGAGAGTGCTTCGAGGTTTTCCAGTCAGGCAACATTTCGTGATGTTCAAAAATTGCGGCTCCCCCACTTGAGCCCGGAGCACCCATGTGGCACGCCATATCATGCACATTACTCCTCTGCCCACCGACCACTAAGGCTTGCAATCCAGTAGCGCCAATCATGCCATTCCTCACAGCGCGCCACCGAACAACCGCTTTCTTGAAAACCTTCTGTTTTTGCTTGAACAGTCCAGCCTCGCGCACTCAGCCTTCACCGAGACAGTGCTTTTTTGCTGCTTTTATCGCTAGTGTTACTTTTTGTTAAGGGTAGCCGACAGTTTTTTCCAGCTGCTTTTAATTGTTGGCAAAATTTCTACATTCCTTTAACTCACATTAATCCGCACAGTTCTGATCTAAAATATTTTTTCATGTCACATCGACGATTCTGGTCACTCTTGAATGCAAAATTCTAAAAATAGGGTTTCACTCCTGTTCTTTTTCGCCCTCGCCCTTTTTCCTCCCCTCCATTCTGTTAGCCCCCGCTTTATTCTCTCTGCGCTTTAATAAAATTAATATGCAAAAGCTTCTTTTATTCTTGTAAATTCGAGATCAGTGCGTTCTCCTTCAAAATTCACCTCTTTTCTACTTTCAAAGTATCCACAAACCCTAGGCTCAATTTGTGCTCAGATGTCAGAATCCCTTCCATACTAAAAGAAATCGGAGGAACTGCTAGCAGAATTGCCGGTGGTTTTCCTTCCTAAAAATCGCTGAAGAACACCTAGAAGATGATTCTCTGACAGATCGGCATGTGACGTTCGCCAGTACCAATTTACCATCGAAACAAATCATTAAATGGTGGTTTTTCCCTAGCGGCAAGGGGCGATTCGCTGTATCTACGTTAAATGCCCTCAAAGTACAGTAAATGAAGAACTGTGTGAGGGATATATAGCTTTCAAAAACCACATGCCTTTTAAAATTTCGCTGTCGTCGTTTACTGGCATACATTTTTTACGGCAACACCGCTTCCATGTAACATCTATAATGCATTCTGGTCCTTCAACAGAAAAAACAATTCGGTTTTACCACTGATCAAAATTGATTCATTATAACAATAGAAAAATATAGGATAATGGCTCCCCGCATATGCGGGCATCACAGCAACATCACAAACATGGCATACTCACGGCGATATCCGCGTAGTTTAAGTAGCTTAAAAAGATGGCCGAGGGGGAGGAGGGGGGAGGAGAAGGAACATTAGCATGGTATTAGTAAGCAATATCAGGAACCTTGTAAATCAAATACCTGTTGTCTTCAGTATCTTTAATTTTCGGCCAAAAGTGAATACTTAAATAGCAAATTTTTATGCGTTTTGCACTGCTGTTACACAGCACAAAACCCATATTGTCACGGGGTTGTCTGTGTGTGTTTGTGTGTGTGTCCAAGTGCGTTTTGCTCCGCACTTTCAAGTCGGGAATCGCAAAACTAGGCGGCTGAAATTTTAGAAGGTGTTTCCCACCAGTATGTGACCCCGCAAATTCAAACTCGGTCTTCCCGTTCCGCGGGTAACACGTACTGCCCCGTGAAAGTTTTGGCAGGTAAATCATTATTTTTGAAACCACAAAAGCTAGGCTGAAAATTTAGGGGAACGTCCTCACTCACGTGTAACCCCGCAAATTTAAATTCAGCCTACCCGTGCCCGCTGGTGACATGTACGACCCCGTAAAAATTTTGAGAGGTAAAATCATTATCTCGGGAATCTCGAAAGCTAAGAGTTAAAATTTTGTGGGTATGTCGTCTGTCCACGTACGACCCAGAAAATTTAAATTCAGCCTTCCCCTACCCGCTGGTAACATACCGGCCCCGTGAAACTTCTGGCGAGAAAAATTATTAGCTCAGGAACCACGGAATCTAGGAAGCTGAAATTTTACAGTAATCTGCCCACATACAACCTCACAAATTTAAATTCAGTGTTCTCACACTCTCAGGTTCACCTACCGCCTTGTGAAACTTTTAGCGGGTAAATTATTATCTCGGGAACTACGGAATCTAAGAGTCTGAAATTGTGGGGGACCGCTCCCTGCTCATGTGCAACCCCTGAAATTTAAATTCAAAGCAGTGAAAATTATTAGCAAGCAATCGTTCGGTGGACGCAATTGCACAAAACACATGATCGCACCAGCTGCCCTTGTGCGCGTCGCTATTTACTTTTCCAGTTCCTGCTGACGTAAAGATGCGCAACTGAGTAGGAAGTATAAAGCATAGGTATGTAACTCAGATTAAAAAAAGATTTGGTTTACCTGTTCCGAACGTGTGGGTCCTCA